TATTATTTATTATCTGAAAACTAAGTGAGATAAATAAAACAGTACTAGGCACCATGTTGTGACGTGAGATTAATTTATTCTGCAGTACTTGTTTATTATGTTGGACTACTATGCATTTAAGAAAATGATATTTTTAGTTTCATTTTACCGACGATAACTCTGTAGAATATGTCATTGATTTCAAAACTATGACTGAAATGTGTGTAAATAATGGGCAAAAGCGTCCAGTTATTCGATATACCGATTTTGATTTGCCAGAACATTGGGACATTCAATCGGAAAATATTGCACAATTTCCGTTACAAGTTAACTCAACTGAATACAATGAAGTTCGTGCTTTATTTGACAAAACAATGGCTAAACAATATAGTGAAATAGTTCGTATAGATCGTATCCGAAATAAACAATGGTATATGCAATACAATTTCTATAAAACTTTCTCACCAAAGAAAAATACAGAAAAAAAATTATTTCATGGTTGTTCACAAGAAGTAGCTTCACTCATTATTAATACATTTTTCAATCGATCGTTTCCTGGAATTAATGGTCAGTTTGATTTGCTTAAAAATCTTTTTGTAAAACAAAAAATTTATTTTAAGATGTCGTATATGGACAAGGAGCTTATTTTTCAGCAGACGCTTCTTATAGTCACGATCATACTAGGCCAAGTATGCTAAACGGTGAACGATGTATGTTTGTGGCAAATGTATTAGTAGGTAATAGTGCACTAGGAAACCGACACATGAAAACACCACCTTCAGGTTATGATTCAACAACTGATGGAAAACATATCTTCGTCACATATCGTGATGATCAAGCTTATGCAGCATATCTTATTGTTTACAAATAAGTCTTTTTCATGACGGGTGAATTTTTCATTTTTATTTGTGATAATCGAGATTATGAATTTCTTCTCAACAATAAATTTTTATTGAATTTCTTTCAACAAAAAAAAGGAATAACAACGATCTATTGCAAAAAACAAACCAACTAAAAGTCATTCATGTCTTCACTTGTTTTATTCCGTGGTTTTTTTCTTCGATTTTTCTTTGCATTTCCAATAACTTTTCATTCCTTTCTTTTTCCTAAACCTGATCGTTTTGTTTGTTTAAGACGTTTCCCTCGATAAATGATTACTGGTTGATTAATAGCTAAAACAGCTAAGTTTTGTTCACGTTCTAAACGTTTTGTTCTTTGTTGTTTAGCTACATCAACATAGATACTTGTGATTAAATTTATATCACAATGACGTTTAAATACATCAAAGACATCTTTTGGACGTGTTTTTAATAGTATTGGGTTGATGCAAAATTAACGACCGTTTTTATTGATTCTAAATTTATTCAACAACTGCTTAGTCACTACATCACAAGTATTTCTTCATCAGATAAAAAAGAACAAAAGCAGAGAATAGAAAGAATGTTATCTGCAATAACATTCTTTCAAATAGCAAAAAGAAAAGAAGGAAAGCGAGAATAAAATGATCGCTAACAAAAACGGTCGTTAATTTTGCATCAACCCAATAGATTTAATGATTTTTCATTACGTTCCATTTCAAATTTACTAACAG